GCTTCTCTGGACCTCAGAGGTTTTTGCTTTTGTTTTTGAGACAGGGTCTTGCTCTGTCACCCAGGCTGGAGTGCAGTGATATGATCATAGCTCACTATAGCCTCAAACTCCCTGGCTTAAGTGATCCTCCTGCCTCAGCCTCCCATGTAGCTGGGACTACAGGCATGTATCACCATGCCCAGCTAGGTGGTCAAAACAACAGAGAGGAATTGGCTTGCATTGAGCCAGGATAAAAGAATCTCTGAATCTCAGTAAGGAGCAAATCTACCTCCCTGTCCCTCCCAGCACCCAGGGTTTTGTTTCTCAGGAGTTGTGGGGTTGGGGAAGGCGGGTAAAGGTTTGGGACAAGGCAAAAGGGAGAGCCAGAAGCCCCAGGATTACGGGGAATGACTGTAAGTTTGGCTCAGGCTAGAAGGGCAAGGCCCTCCCAGGAGGTCCAGCCAGGTGACTAGTGTTCTGAGTTCCTTGGCTAGTTAAGGCCAATCCATAATACTTGGCTTTCAACCAGATAGATTTCTCTGGCCCTAAGTTCAAAGGCGCCTGGGACAGCCTGGCAAACAGTGGAGAGGGGCATAAGGAATGGAGACCAGTGGCCAATGTAGCTGCAGTGGCCAGAGGAAGCTGGGCAGAATGAAAACCCAGCCTGAGACTGCAGCAGCTCATGAGGACTGGGAGGACACACACGGGCCTCCAGTGCCACAGGTCCAGCTGCCCCAGCCTGGCTCCAGGCCCCCTCGCAGACACTGTCTGACTCAGAGCAGGTGATCTGCGAGTGACTGTCAACGAACAAGATACAAAGAATCAGGGATCCCTGCAGACAGTGAATGGCAAGGCTGGAGTGCCTGCCCTGACCAAGCAACTGCCCATACACTGCCTTGCCCACCCCATGATAGCAGAGGCTGCTAGATCCTCAAGTCCAGGCTCTGCCATCCATCGACTGGCTCTCTTGAGCCACAGTTTGGTCTGTAAATCAGCTGTAAATAACCCTGTTGTAAGCCCCAGGGCTACTGTACACATCACCTGAGATCAATGCTGAAGAGTGCGATGGGGAAGGAAGCACCTTCCTTTCTGTCATCTCTTTTATCCCTAATTACAACCCTAAAAGCCAAGTACTATTATTGCTGCATTACACAATTGAGTATGCTATGGTTCAGAAAGGGTAAGTCACCTGCACGAAGCCACACAGCTGCCAAGTGACTAAACCAGGCTGGGTCCCAGGTCTGTGGGACTCCAGACCTGGGCTTTTCACCTCTGCACATGCCTTCTGGACCGTGCTCAAAGCTTTGGTAAAACTCTTCACCAAAGGAAGGAACTCTTCTCATGACTTGTTGTTTTATAAGACCCAAGGTAGAGAAGGGCATTGTCATGAGTTTTCCTGTTCACACTGCCTCTCTCCTTCATCATGTGAAGAAAAGCAAGCTACAGTCTACTAATTTCTGCAGTCTCAGACAATCAGAATTCTGGCTGTCTGGGAGAACCAACCTAAGAAAGCATGAAACTAATCTGTTCAAAGTTAACATCTTGGAGGCGTCGCGTCAGTATTTGGGTTGGAAGCGTAACCTTGTTATCGTAACACAGATGAAGCCCCACATTTAATAAGGCTGAGACAACTTGGGCAACGTAAGAAACATAACAGGATATTGCAAAAAGATTAGGGAGCTTCCTCTGGACAGCGTGGATGGGCCGTGCAGAGGGCAGGGTGGGGGATGGACAGTGCCATTGACCCTGGGGTTCGGTGAGTCTCTAGTCCCAGGCTCAGCCTAAGGACTAAGATGCCCAGGCAGAGGGGAGCTGGGCTCCTCTCGGCACACCGAGGCCTGCCTGGTGCCGGAGCAGAGGCTCCGCCAGCTAAATGTAAGCCAGCTGCAAGAATGCAAGTTCCAGTCGGATGGGGTGGGGGAAGCTTACCTCATGAAAGAACTGTGGAAACGGCTGCTGGAAAGATAATAAAAGGATTAACTGCTATTTTAGTGGGCCATTTACTCTTCAATCAAAATGTCTCATCTATTTCCTGTTCTCCAGAGGCTCTGGTTCCAAAATTCCTTTGTCTAATACAGTGCATGGTAGCAGAGGCCTGTCATGAGAAATTAATAATTTTACAGGGAAGGGAGATTTTATTTATCTGGGTGCTGGTTGAGGCCCGCCCCTTCCCCTGGGTTGCCCACTGTGCCAGCATCATGGAGGAGGGGGAGCATGTCCACCCCACCGCAGGCAAGAGGATCCCAGAGGAGGCTCTGAGAAGCCTCCAAAACCCAGATCACTGCTGCTGTCTCTAGATGGTGGCACCCAGCAGGGCCGGCCCTAACGGCCCAGAGAATAGTCAGTTTAGCAGATCTACACAAACAAGAGCACTGTGGGTTAGAAAGATGTCGGCTCAAGCTCCATTCCAGTGCTTACCAGCTGTGTAGCCTTGAGCAAGTTATTTTTATAACCATTATAATTCTTAGCCTCTATTCTTATTATAACTGTTGTTATTGATTGTTTCCAACTAGCTGTGTGATCTGGGGCAAATTATGAAATCTTCCTGAGCCTCAGTTTCCTCATCTGTGAAACAGGGGTTCACAGTATCTACCCCACAGCGTTGTGTTGAGGACCAGGTGGAGTTATCACCTAGAATAGCACCTGCACACAGTCTGTACTCGGAAGCTGCTTGCTGGTATTATCATCACCACAATCCTAAACCCTGGAAGAGGTAAGACCAAGTGTTCTCACAGGAGCAAGTGGAAGGCTGGCCAGACCCTGCCAAACCTTTGTTTCTTCATCTATAAAAACCCTTGGTTTTGCAGGACTTGTAAGGATTAAATAATACTGATAGGTGAGTGTAGACGCAGCTTGCTAACATCTCCTCCATGAAGCCCTTGTGAGCCTTCCCTCCCTGGGCCTAAGCAAACTCCATCCCAGGACCTTCCACTCATCTCCCACCTATCCCTGAGCATGACTGTCCCCAGGGCAAGGGCCATTGCAGGTCCAGGTCTGGGTCCCCAGAGCCAGGCCTGAGCCAGTGTAAGCCAGGGTCCTGTGGAGTCTGTGGAATCAAGTGAGATCCTGGCAGCCTGGCCCCGGAGACAGAGACCCTGAGTCTGCACTGAGTAACCCAGGCCCCTCTGACCGCTCTCTGGGCCCTGTTTCCTAAGCTAGAAAGTGAGCTGGGAAGGTCTAGATCCCCTCCCAGTTCCTGAATGTCCAGCATGGAGACTCCTCTGCATGCTGTGGTTCCACACAGAGGCCCCATTGTGAGAAGACCACTGACCACAGGCAGAAGCCAGGTATAAGCCAGTGTCCTGTGGAGTCTTCCTTCGGGCCACAGAGCCCCCACCTAGGTCCCCACAGGTACCCCTGGGCTAACCCACAGGAGAGAATAAGGAGAATGGCTCAGCAGCTGTCGGCTCCAGGGTCTCGGAGAGAGATGCGGGCCCAGCTGTTTCCCTGCAGCCCTGGCCTGGTCTGTATGCTGTCTGTTGGTCATCTCCTTCCAGAAAAGGGCATGTGTCACTGGACCCCAAACAAGCCAGGGTATCGCCAGAAGCTGGCCCAGTCCCCAGGCCTCCTTCCAGCATCCTTTCAGCCCAAAGGCACACAATAAAGTTAAAGTCTCAGCCTGCCCACTGCGGACTCTCCCCCACGCCACTCCACACACCAGAGCGCTAACCACAGGCTCCCTCCTCCTGCCTCTCCTTGGCACAAGCCATTCACTGCTGCTCACTTGTTTACAAAGCGAACTCTTTCTCTTCCTTCAAGATCCAGCCTCCAGAAGCTACAGAAGCAGAACCTCTTGGATGCCCAGCTCCCAGCTCCACAGGTGGATAGGGCCCAGGGGCAAGCACCCTGCCCTAGGATAGAGTTTTTGCTGCTGACTGCCAATGTGTCCTGCCTCCTTCCTGGCCCCTGCAATGTCACTCTGGGCTCTGAGTGGGGACACTACGTCCCTTTGCAGACCAAGCGCTCCATGAGGGGTGTCCAAGTGACAGTGTCACTATGTGAGTGTGAAACAGCTTGACTTTGGCTATGGCACCAGCCGCAGCACACCAGCCATGCTGTTGTCCTCATGGCCAGGCTGGCCGGGCAGCAGCCTTGGTGGTCCATGCTTCTCATCACCAAGCACAACCTGAGGTCCAGCTCTGCCATTCCTGGGCAGGCACCTCTCCTGCGGGGAGGGCTGGGCCTCAGGGGTAGCACAGCAGTTAGGCTGAGTGTGTCAGGGAGTAAGACTATTCTCCTAGCCTTTGATACAGTTTGCCCCTACAGACAGGGCAGAAATGACCTGTCACAGAAATTACCCAACAGAAGGCCCGGAGGCCTTGTGCCCACAGTTAATATGTGTGTGTGTGTGTGCACGCGCGTGTGCACACACACATGCACGCGCACAGACACATAATGCTTGTGTAAGGGAACCTGTCTCAACTCCAGAGGAACACTGCTGGTACTAGCCATGGCCTTAGCTAGTAACCCCGGGCCCCAGCCCAAAGCCTGCCCTGGGGACCCATAGCTCTCGAGCCAGGTGCCTATGAGGCCCCACTGTTCCTTGGTGGATGCCAAGGCTGAAGGCAGCACCAGAATGCCAGGGAACCTCACTGAGATGGATGCTGGTGAGGGCCCAGCACTGGAGGAGAGCCTGTTCTCCACATCTCATTTGGCCACCAGCAGGTGGGACATGGAGCACAAACACGTAAAACGAGAGGCTGGCCACACCTGCTTTGATCTCCAATCACGTGTGCACACAGCACCAGGCCCTGTGGCATGCTAAGATATATCTAATGCCTCCGGGCAGGGGACTGGGCACCTGCTGAGTGTGAGGGGCCCCTCTGCCATGGTGCCCAAGTGACAGGGACACTGACCGTCTTGACCAGTGGCCACATCTACAGCATTGGTCCTTCCCTCCTCCACCACAGGGATCTCAGCCAGCCCGAGGAGGGAGTCCCAGGTGGCTCTCCTGGGCACTGGGGTGGGTGCAGCTCTGCCCGAGGGGATGGGATGAGGCCTGGCGGCTGAGGAGAACTCACCATGCACTTGTTGGGCTTCTCACCCGAGTGCACCCGCATGTGGATGAGCAGCTTGTAGCGGGCATTGAAGGGCTTGTAGCGGCGCACACAGCCTGCCCAGAAGCAGGTGAAGTCCTCACCCTTGCGCTGGTCGATGTGGCTCTTCTCGATGTGCCGCACCAGCTCCTCCTGCTGCTCATAGGCTGCACAGCAGTCCACCCAGCGGCACGCCTGCCGTCCAGCCACCACCCTGCCTGCCAGGCCCAGCCCCAGGCCCAGGCCTCCAAGGCTCGGGCCAGGTGGCAACTGAGGCATGGGATAGGGGGGCGGCAGGCCCTGCTGGTGAGGCCCAAAGAGCTCTGAAAACTCATCTGCGGGCTCCTGCTTCAGGAAACTCGCCTTCCGGCAGGCTTCCAGTTGCAAACTGCCCTCGTGGCTGTCCGTGGATACAGGGCCAGACCGGGCCCGCTTGGAAGGGCCCCCCAGGTCTCCTGGCAGAGGGGGGCTCCGGAGTCCATTCACACAGGTGACCAGAGACGTCTGGGAGGAGCGGATGATGGAGGTGACGTCGGAGGAGGCACAGGATGAGGAGGAGACTGAGGTGGTCAGGGGTAGGCCCAAGAGGCAGCAGCGCTTAAGGCTGCCCTCGGGGAGGTGAGCCTCAGGCTGGGGGCCCAGGCCAGAGCTGGGTTCACTGCCCATAAGGTAGCAGGAAGGCACAGGGCTGGCAAGGCTTCGGCCCGGGAGGTCCAGGTCTGGGAGTAAGCCAGTGGCCAGCGGGACCCGACAGTGGGCAGACAGGGAGGTTCGGGCCTCTGCCATGGCTTGGTAGTTGGGCAGGGATTCCTGCTTGATGTGTTGTGTGGTTGGGAGGCTGCTGTTCACATATGTGGCCTGGGGTCTGGGCGACCTGGAAGACAGAGGTCAGAGAGGTCATAAGAGGCTGGGTACTCCATGGAGGGAAGGCCCAGGCAGGGAAAGGCAAGGAATCTGAGGACAGAGGGACAGACAAGCCCAGGGCAGGAGACAGAGGCTGAGGGCTGGAGGCAGAGAAACAGCATCTACAGATTGGTTGTCTGGAAAGCAAGGCAGAGTGTGAAGGAAAATGAGGAGAGGAAGAGGAGGAGGGCTGGGGAGGGAAAGAAGAGGCAGGAGACCAGGTCCAATGGCTCACGCCTATAATCCCAGAATTTTGGGAAGCCAAGGCAAGAGGACTGTTTGTGTCCAGGAGTTCGAGGCCAGCCTGGGCCACACAGTGAGACCCCCCATCTCTACAAAAAAATTTTAAATTAGCCAGGTGTGGTGGTGTGCACCTGTAGTCCCAGCTACTTGGGAGGCTGAGGTAGGAGGATTGCTTGAGCCCAGGAGGTGGAGGCTGCAGGGAGCCAAGGTCATGACATGCACTCCAGCATGGTGACAAAGCAAGACCCTGTCTCTTAAAAAAAAAGCGGGGGGCTGGGAACGGGCTGAACAGGTGAATGCGGTGAGAACACCAGGAAGGAAGACCTTGCATCCTTTTACCAAAGCCCAGCACCTCACCCAGCCATGGATGCCACGTCATCCTGCCTCCCAAGTGTGCTGCTCCTTCCTTGTGGCCTTCTAGTGAGTTCTGCAGGAAGAAGGCTGAGGCTGGCATTCTGAGGAACACCCAGGTCCGGGGTGTATTAAATTCCACTTATATGTCCCTAAGTCTTTCCTAATTTTTGTACTCTAGTTTAACTTCTACCAATGCTAACTCTAAGACGCTTTGCCCAAGCAGTCTGGCCTGTCCACTGTTAACGTCCATGCATGGGGAAGTCTGAAGTGCAGTCCTGGTGGGGCATCTCAGGAGGAACCAAGGAAAAGCTTCTGAGGGGTCCCAGGGTTTCAGGCCCTCACACTGTGACTGCATCACACACAAGTGGGAAAGGGGCCAAGAGGGCACAAGGCTTGCACGCCAGCACACAGCAGCAAGCTGGCACCTGGCCTGAACAGAACCCCCGTTCCCCTTCTCTGGAGTGTGGGCATTTTTTCCTACGTAGAACTGACCTGAAGCTCCCGTGAATGAAGGGGAAGGGGAAGAGCTTTTCTGTTTATTTCTCTACTACACCTAGCGACCTCTTCCCTCCCAAGAACCCTAATCTAAGTGACCACTGGGTAGAGTCAGAAGGAGCTCTGAATCCAAGACAAACAGCAAACATGCATTCCCCTCCCCAGGGCTGGGCACACTGCACCCACCACTGCCAACAGAAAGCTCTGAGTATCTTAACAATCTGATGGAAAAGTGGTAACTTTATGGAGCTTAAAAAAAATAAAAGCAGGCCAGGCATGGTGGCTTATGCCTGTAATCCCAGCACTTTGGGAGGCCGAGGTGGGTGGATCACCTAAGGTCAGGAGTTTGAGACCAGGCTGGCCAGCATGGTAAAACCCTGTCTCTACAAAAATACAAAAATTAGCCAGGCATGGTGATGCGCACCTGTAATCCCAGCTACTTGGGAAGCTGAGGCAGGAGAAGGCTTGAACCCAGCAGGCAGAGGTTGCAGTGAGCCGAGATGGAGCCACTACACTCCAGTCTGGGGACAGAGTGAGACTCCATCTCAATCAATCAATCAATAAAAGCAGAGCTGCTCCTCAGGGGGCTGTGATCCTGGGCCCTGGCAAAGGCAGGCATGGGCAGGAGTTTGACCAGGAAAACATCTGTTTGGAGCAGTCCCTTGAACATGGCTTCAGGGAAATCAACCAACACCGAGAGGAGAGAAGAGTGGTAGCTTCCGTGACTGAGTTAACCAAGCAACTAAGGCTGACAGCAAGACCTTGCACAGCATCAGGTGGGGAGGCGTGACTCAGGCCTTGGTGTCTGGTGGCTGCCCATAGGCACTGAGTCAGCATCACCTCCCTTCCTTCACCTGCTATGAGGCCCAAGAAGCTTCCAGCCTGGCTCTGCCACGGAGCCCCGTACACCCGGGGAACTTCCATCACGTCTCTGGAGACTGCAAGCCTGGGTCTCTAGACACAGCCAACAACTGCTGAGCAGCTGCATGTGCTGGGCACCTTCCCAAGGGCCGTCTCATGCAATCCTAGCGCAGCAGAAGACACGGTCTAAGTATCTGCTGAATACATGACTACATGCTTCACGGGAGATTCCGCCATCTGTTTTACACTTACAAACCCTGAAGTGACCTGCCCAAGCCTGCAAGGCAATGATAGAGCAGGAGCTGGAATCTGGATCTGTGAATCTGAAGGTTGAGATTTCCCCACACTCTACTGGCAGGGGCCCCAGCTTTGTCTATGGAATGATTTCGTCTGATGATCGTTACAGTCCTTACAGTGTCAATGTTGTAAGTATCAAAGATGCATGTGTTCTGTCCATAATCCTGGAGCCTGGAAGGGAGCTACTGAGATTGGGGTAATCAGTGTTTCTCCAGCAGAGACTCAGGAGAGAGGTAGGGATCTCAGACCTCATGCCCCTGCGGGCTCAGGAACTGAGGAAGCTCAGTAATTTCATTCAACAGGCTTTTCACTCTGCTGGGTGATGCTGAAGATGTGGGAAGACCAGATCCCCCACCTTGGGGAAGCTCCCCTTCCAGTAGGGGAGTCTGCGGACCAGTCCCCTAAGAGAACATCTGCATTCTGCTGAGGGGCAGATAGAGTTCTGGTGAACAGAACTAGTTACCTCACCTCTCTGGCCTCAGTTTCCCCACTCAATGGCAGTGGGGAGTTGAGAGCATTCATACATAAAACGTGCTTGGCCTGGGGTATGGTACACAGCAAGCACCCCACCATTGTTTTCTATTAGCCGCAGGGTCTGGGCCTCCTGGGACCATGAGGACTGAATGAGAGAATGTGCACACGCAGGAGTCACTCAGCAAGCCGGGGCTATTTTTATTAGTATTAGAGAGTTAGGCTGGAGCCAAGGAGGCAGCTGACGCAGGAGCCCCGGCGCTAGTTGCAGGGTCCTGAGATTGAGAGGGGCAGGCAGGCACCAAGAGTGGAGAGAAGGGGCCCCCACCACAAGGCCATCAGGCAGTCAGGGGAAGGCACGGAATTTCGATCAGGTGTGGGACAGGGGCTGGGGTCTGTTTTCCCTTAGGAAAATGAGGGCATATGAAAGTGTCAGCTCGAATTCAACCACTTTAATAAGGAGGGTGTGGGGCACAGCAACTTTCATTCATGCCGGCGTAGAAGTCTACAGACTCTCCTGTGCCATAAGTTGTCCAAATGACATTCAAAATGACAAATGATATTTCTGACTGTCTCTAGCAAAAGAAAAAAAGATCCCCTTTGCTTAGCCTTTCCTGGGTTAGCACAGCTTCTACCTTGAGAGATCATAGAATGAATTTCACCAGGGAAATTGGATACTGCTGGGGAGCCTCCAGAAAAGAATCCAGCAGATAAATGCATTTGACTATCACGAAACAACACACAGCTCAGTCTAAAAGACGCTCGCTCCTTGCTATGGATTGATTTGTGTCCCCCCAAAATTTATATGTTGAAGCCCTAATATCCAGTGTGACTGTGTTTGGAAACAGAGCCTCTAAAGAAGTAATCAAATGCTAAACAATCATAAGGGTGAGGTCCTACTCTCATAGGACAAGTGTTCTTATAAGAAACGAGGGCCGGCAGCGGTGGCTCACTCCTGTAATTCCAGCACTTTGGGAGGCTGAGGCAGGCGAATCACTTGAGTCCAGGAGTTTGAGACCAGACTGGCCAACATGGTAAAACCCTGTCTCTACAAAAAATACAAAAAATTAGCCAGTCGTGGTGGTGCACACCTGTAGTCCCAGCTGCTGGAGTAGCTGAGGTGGGAGGATTGCTTGAGCCTGGGGAGCGGAGGCTGCAGCTGACATTGTGCCACTGTACTCCAGCATGGGTGACAGAGTGAGACCCTGTCTCAAAAAAAAAAAGGAGAAATTAGGGCACAGGCCAAGGGATGGCCATGTGAGGACCCAGCAACAAGGCTGCCATCTGCAAGCCAAGGAGAGAAGCCTCAGGAGAAAGCAAACCTGCCGCACCTCAGTCCTGCACTTCCAGCCTCCAGGATGGTGAGAAAGTGAAATTCTGTTGTTGGAACCACCCAGTCCATAACCTTTGCTACAGCAGTCTAAACAAACTAATGCACACCTATAAATCAGAAGTCTTACTAACATCAAAGAAGCCAGAAGGAATTAAATTCTCAAATGAAAATGATTGCACTTGAGAAGAACAGCATCCTTCTCTTTAGGAATTTCTCCACTGCAGAGCTTCCTCGAGAACTTATGCTCTGTAAGGGGAGATCTTTGCTTCCTTCACCAAGATGCTCCCAGTACTGACCACAGTGCCTGGCATGTGACAGGCACTTGACAAACAGCTGGTGAAGGAATAAACTGCAAACCAGCAACTGGGCAAATGTTTACACTCTCTGGTCTGTGAAGCAGGCCTCAGGCCAGCAGCCCCAGGCAGCCGGTGAGGGGCTGGGGCCGAGCTGGTATGCACAGAGGCCTGTCTGTGACTGACCTGCTGTCAGCAACCCAGAGGGTACCAAGGTGGCTATGGTTTGAACATCTGTTCCCTCCCAAACTCATGCTGGAACTTAATCCCCAGTATGGCAGTGTGGAGAGGTAAGGCCTTTAAAAGGCGAGTGGGTTGGGTCATGAGGGCTCTGTCTCATGTATGGATGAATCCGCTCATGGGTTAATGGATGATCATGGAAGTGGGACTCCTGGCTTTATAAGATGAGAGAGATCTAAGCTAGCATGCTCAGCCACCTCGGGACCCTGCAGAGGCCCTGCCAGCACGAAGGATCTCACCAGATACAGCCCCTCAATCTTGGACTCAGCCTCCAAAACTGTAAGAAATAAGTTTCCTTTCTTTATGAATTACCCAGGGCCAGGTATTCTGTCACATGCAACAGAAAACAGGCTGAGACAAAGGCACAGCTGAGACCCTGGGAGAAGCTGTAGGAGGCAGGTGTCAGCCCAGTGTGCACCCTGATGACAGGCATCCCTTGAGAGGCGGCCAGCACTGGAAGTGTGCAGGCGCTGAGTAGAGAGTTTCCCAGCAGGGCTCTGCGGCCCATGGTCTCCTGGGGCAGAAATGGCATTGCAGAGAAATCCCTCTCTGCCCTATCAGCAGTTCGAGGTTTGACACTATATAAGCTCTGAGCTGGGCTTTCCCTCCCCAACCTACCGGTGAATCTTCCTGTTCTGAAGTGATTGATTCTCTGTGAAAAGCTCCATCTGCTTGTTTGACAGGGAAACACCTCAATGAACCATCCTTGTGTCTCTCAGAAGGCAAAGCAGGAGGTACAGAGTCTAGGCCAGGCAGCAGCTTCTCAGCTACAGGGCCCCCTCGTGCCTCCATTTCCCCGTGTCCCAGCAGCTAAGCAGAGGAGGTGAGGCCTGAGGCCCTTGGTCCTGGAGCCTCCCAGGAGTATCCACAGAAAGCAGCTGACGGCACCTACCTGTTAGGGTGGGAGAAATGCAGCAGCCTCTCACAGGCTTGGGGGTGAGACCGGGGTGGTGGGCTTCCTGCAGGGAGAAACAGGCCCTGGCAGCAGGTGGGGCTGGGGCCCTCAGCAAAGTCCAGGTCCAGCAGGCTCTTCTCCGAGCCCGGGGTGCAGTGGCCGTAGCTCCCATTCACTAGGCAGAGAAAGACAGGGAGAGAGGGGCACAGTGAGTGGGGGCAGCCTGCAGAAGGGTGCGGGGAGAGGGCGGTCCCTGGGGTAGGGCGAGGGACAGGGCACCCAGAGCCAACACTCACGCATCCCTGCTGCATGCCAGGTACCAGGATACCTTGTCTAATTCCTACAAGCACCAGCTGGATTGATAATCAAATCCTCCATTCTCAGAGGGGGATGCTGGTGCTCCAGCAGTTAAATGACTGTTACGCAAACACCGGACACCTCCTGTGCACAGACACTGCTCTAGCCGCAGGAAACACTGACAAACAAGAGAAACTCCCAGTCTCTTGGAGCGTGCTGTGCCTTATCCTCAGGTAACCACACGGTGCTACCAGGGCAAGGTGTGAGAGCACCAGCTGGGGCGGGTGGCTGCTCAGCCACGCTGCTGCCCACAGGCGGGAGGGAGCGGTGCTGACATGTGGATGTCAAGGAGTAGGCGCTCACTACACAGCATCTGGTACTGTTAACACCAAAGCTCAGTCCACATTGTCTTCCAAATTGTGTCACACTGTAGAAGCACAGTGTGCAATTACTCAAACCTCGCTATCACCCATGATTCTTCCATGCCTGTCTCATGCCCTGCCTCGCCCTGCTAGTGGGTTTCTAGGAAGATTAACTGAAGCAGTTGACGTGACAGTGCTGAAAAACCACATAAGGTGTAACCAAAGAGTCAGGCGAGCTTGTTCTAAGCTCCTTCCCCTCTCTGGGCCTCAGTTTTCTCATCTACAGATGAGGGATACACACCTCGAAACTCCATCTTCTTACACTTTCTGTCCTGTCATTCACAGAGCGAAGCTAGGGAGGAAAGGACATGAATTTGGGGGGCTGAGAGACCTCGATGTGAGCCTCTACTCTGCCCCAAACCAATTCCATAACTCAGACAAATCCCTACGCGTGGCAGACCCTGCTTCCCCCGTGTAAGATGGGGCCAGTCTCGTCCGCTCCCCAGTGATGCCATGAGGCTTTGAGAACAGAGGTGCGAAGTCCCTAGCACAGTGCTGAAACCTAGCGAATGCACCAAGGATTGTTCTTATTGTTAAACAGCACTTCGAAAAGTACAAAGTGCCCTGCAGATACAATAAAACATGATCAACAGGTCAAGTATGCCCGGCACCAAGAAAGATAAACTATTAAGATGTGAAAAAACCTGGTCCCTGAACACGATTGACTCCTTAACATGAAGAAAAGGATGTCAGCAAGAGCAGCGTTTGCCGAGCAGCCTGTGCAGGACCAGGGCCGGGGACCACACCACTATCTCATTCTAGCATTCCCTACTGCTGTCTGGAGGAGACCTGAGTCTCACTATCCCCATTTTACAGAGGAGAAAACAAAAGCATGGGGAGGTTCAATTACTCACCCAAGAACACACAACTAGGAAGCCTCTGAGTTGGACTTCCGGATTGGGTCTGTCAGACCCAAACCCCACATCTTAATCGCTACATAATAAGAAGAGCCTTTAAGAGAGTCCACCCCCAAGGATCCTTGTCCCTCAACCCTAATTCTAGCCTGCCCCCAAGGCAGTTCCTTTGGCACACAATGATCCCTGTGCTGATGCTGGGCACTCAGTGCTAACTTGCCACATGCCACAGCTCTGGACGGGCACCAGGTGTAGCTTGCCGAGCACGTGCCAGTCTGTGGATCAGCATGCAACGCTTGCAAAGTCCCAGGGCAAGTGAGGTGCTCAGATAGGAGCTTCCAGGTTCCCAGCCACACGCAAGCCTGTGGAGAGGACTCCACTTCCCAGCCCCAGCCCCAGCCCCAGCCCCAGCCCCAGCCCTGGCCCATCCTGCTGCGAGGAACGCTTGTTCCCTCTGGCCCTGGCTGCTGCCCGACCAGCTCCTCACAAGCTTATGTTTTAATAACTGGGTTGTTTTTTAATTAAAATGAAATCCCTGGTAACAAATGTGAATGGCCTGAGTTAATGAGAGCAGGCTGTCGCTCATTTAACTCTGTCTCTGCTTGGCCGTCTTTGCCTTTTCCAAATCGTTTCTGCATGCAGTTTTATTGTCCCATTGAGGCAAACCCTGGGACTGGGCCTCAGAAAACTGTGGATAATTTTATGACCATTAATAGCATTTGGAGCAGAGAGAGCTTAATCATCACACAGGGCAGTTTCACAGGGGTTTTTCTCCCAGAGTCTCTAACAGGGGTGTGGTTCAGAGCTTCCTTCCAGGACTCACCAGGCCCCTCGGGGGCCTCGGGTTACTTCTCCCCTCCTGCACTTAGGAGGTGGTGTGCAGTGGGGGAAGGTGGGCCCTAGAAAAGGTGGAGAGCCAGCACTCACCAAGCCCTCACCCATCAAGCCCTTCAAGGGACCAGCTCTGTGGGGCAGGGGCAGGGGCAGGACAGCCACTTTCCATATAAGAAAGGCAAGGTTTAGAGAGAGATTCTGTGCCTTGGGGCAGACTTAGGGGTCTGTAAGAGGCAGGGCCACAGTTCAAACCTAGATCTCCCAGACTTCAAAGCCCACATACCTGTGGCCTCTTGGTCAATGGCTGAGTAACCAGAGATCCCTAAATCAGTGTCCATACCTTTGACTCCAATGAGGGTCATGTTGGAGAGCCTCTGGGGAAATAGAAGAACCATCATAATGATGTCTAAGCTTTAATCTTTGCAATAATTCTGCCAGGAGGGTAAGCTCACTCCATCAACAGAGGAGGACACAAAGGCTCAGAGGGGTCAAGCAGTTTGCCAAGGTCACGCGGGGAAGGAGGAGCTGAGTAGTGATCAAACCTATCTCTTCTATGGGAAGAAACAGTTTTTACCCAACAAACTAAGGGCCTGTTAGCTTCTTCTTCTCTGGATACAGTAAAAGGTTTTCCTGCAATAAATAAATAAGCCAGCTTTGGGAAGGAGGGAGGGAGGGAAGAAGGGAGGGAAGGAGGGAGGGAGAGAGAAAGGGAGGGAAGAAGGGAGGGAGGGAGGCACCACTCAGGTCATGGTATGGTGCCACTTAGTGCTCTAGGCTCATTCAAGCCCTTGCCTGCCAGGACCCTCACAGCACTCTGGGTGGAAACATCAACCTCCCAACCTTGCAGAGGGACACTGAGCACCAGAACGAGCAAGTGGCCACCCAAGGTCATATAGCACTTGCTGGCATAGCCGGGGCCCAAAGCTAGGTCTCTCAAAGCCTAGACTCTGCCCTGGAATACCTGCTGCCTCAGAAGCTGGAAGTGAAACCCAACGCTGCAACATGTGTCACAGAAATGCTGCTGTCACTAGAAAGATGGGGAGACTCTCACTGCTGCCCATCACGGGCCCACATCTGCCAGAAAAGATGTAGGCACTGCCTCCTGTCTGTTGTATTGCCTCCCTGTCCCCAGTGGCTTCACAAGACACAGATGGGGGAGGTCCACTCCTGCTCACTCTCCATCTCCAGAGAGCATGGATGGATCCTTCCTGGGAAAGCCAGGGGAGCAGGGGTGCCTTAGAAAGCGGTTGGCATCAGCAACTGTGTCTCACTCTGTGCCACAGGGGCCAAGAGCAGACCTTGAGCCTGGCTTTCCCCATGCAAATGAAGCTCCTTTGGAGACTTACATGGTGATGGGGTCCTGTGTTTACTTTTACAAGTTAGTGAGAAATCCTAGAATGTCTGAGTCGGGACTGGCTGGCCATCTATTTCACTAATAGATAAGAAGCTGAGGCTCAGAGAAGGAAAGGGCCTGCCCCAGTCACACAGCAAATCTATAACAGGGCCTGGATTGGCACTTTGGAAGCTAGGTAAGAATTTGGTTTGGTTTCCTCATCAAGCCTTCGTTTTCTTGTCTGTAAAATGGTGCTAACACCTAACTCCCAAGGTTGAGGTGACAACTGAGAGGATGAACACAATGCATTTGGCATGAGCCTACCTCACAGCTGGTGCTTGAAAAGTAATGTGATGATAATTATTTCTTTTATTTCTCCTTGAGCCTGGGCCAGGGAGATGGGGACCTGTAAGAGAAGCATGCTGTCCCCAGAAACGGCAGATCTGGATGACTCTGAGGCTAGACTCAGAAGGACAAACCCCCAAACTTGGGGACATGCAGGATGGGGCAGCCTGGACGAGGTCACAGCCAACAAATCTGAAGCAAACAGCTCTAGTTACACACCAGAGAGCTTTGCAAATTACCATAATGACTTGGCTATAAAGTGGCACCACATATAAGGTGACTCCCCACAAGAATTTTAATTTATGCTGAAACCTGCCAAGTCTGCGCGACAGTGGACAATGATGCATTCAGCATCTAAGACCCAGATGCTGCCTCCTTGCAGTCCCAGCAGCATCAGCAGCTGGGGTCCAGGCAGGCCTACATCATGACTGCCTTCTTGTTCATCCATAAGCAGACTTTAGTGCCTGTCGGGCACTGGACTGGTGACAGGGCACTGCACTTTACAGTTTACAAAACATTTTCGCAGCCATCACCTGTGAGCTTTATTGCAACCCTTAGGAGTTTGCTGGGCAGGCTCAGAGAGGGCAGGTGATTTGCCCAAGCTCACACAGCAAGTACAGGGCTCAGATTTGCCTGACTCAGCCATCTAGTTGGCAAGCTTTTTCCATAAAGGGCAAAAAAGTAAATGATTAAGGCTTTGTGGGTATATAGTCTCTGCCATCACTACTCAACTCCAACCCTGTACCATAAAAAAAAAATAAACAAATGAATGGACCTGTGTTCTAATAAAACTTTATTTAGAAAAACAGATTGCTGGCTCTTAGGCTATTAATCTGCCAGCCCCTGATCTCCTGCAGCAGTGAGAGAGATAGGATTTGACATTTGAAATGAGCATTCTTTTTCCTGCATTTTCATCTCCTAGTGGGCATTCAGTGAATGGACGTGCCTTCAGCCTGGTTCTGGGGCCCCTACAGTCTAGGCTCCCCCCGGCCACCTGGTATGACCTCACATGTCCATGATGCTTCCTGCTCTGAGGCACACATCCTTGTCACCCCATTTGGCCTGACCCTTCCAAACCCCTCTGGGCCCT